AATAAGGCAGAAAAGCTCAGCACGCTAAAAGTATGTAGTTCGAGTCCTCCATATTACTATATTTTATATGCTGCGATGTCTGTATATATATGAAGACAAGAATAGATATATGAAAGGAAATAGACGAGAGGAAAATGATAAAAAAGTAATCAATTGCATGAATATTGTGCACAATTAAATAGATTCAAGTATGACTAGAAGCCCATGCAGCAAAGATTTATGCACCTTGATATTTTTGATAGTCTAACCAACTGACGCATGTAAAAAAAACAACAAAAAGAGTTATTGGTGTGACAACAGAAGTTACCCTATTCTTAAATATCAATGATATAAGGATAATGTATGCAAAATGGACATGTTTATATTTTCCGTCAATACATAGTGTTTAAATGTTTGAACTTTGATGTGTAAAACCAGCGGTCCAGGTTAATAAGGACACTACTGGTCGGGGACCATCAACCAAACACTTTTTGAACATTTTTCGTACAGATTTCATAATTATTAACCTAGAGACCAAAAAATTTGACAAATTTCAGCAAGATTATTTTCCTAACACGCAAACTTGTTTGTTTATATCTGATTGTATTGACACCTATATCTAAGACTCGTCAAGGAGGGTATCAAAATTAACTAAATTGTCTACACTACAGTACCATCACGTGTCCGGACATTTATGTACATGACGTGATTTAATTCAGAAAAAGGCTTGGGTGTTTTGATTTTTGACATTTAACATGATAAACAATATTTCAGCAACATATGCTGAAGTTTTCGAATTCTATTATTTACTCTGCAAATGAATATAGCTGATATATGAGGTCAGGCATTGCTTTCTTAATCCCCAAATTTCAACGAATAGCCATTTAAATATTACCATTTACGGAGGTTGAAATAAATAGAGGATATTCAAGTTTTTTTCTATAAATACATGATTTATTTTCATCGAGTGGTATGAAAATAATTATTTCATGAGTGGCGGTAATTTTCATGCCACAAGATGAAAATAAATCATGTATTTATAGAAAAAAACTTGAATTTTCTGTTTATTATAAACATTTTTCTCTTTTTTGACATTAAAATTTATAAGACTTTCCCTTTAATTTTGTGTACTAGCAGAATTTAAAAGAAAGTAGTCCGGCAAGACACCAGTGAAATACGGAAAATATGTTTCACTGCAGTGAAAAATAAATTTTTAGAGTGAAAATACGGAAAATGAAAATACGCATTTTATTTCATCAATATCTCTCAATATTTCATTTATAAGTATATAATAAATTTATTTACTTACTTTGGAAGAAACATGCATTTATTGTTGATAAAAAAGTGATTGACAACCACTGATCAAAGAAAATACAAAATTTAAGCATTTTCGGGGTCGTCCGGGTTTTGTGGTTGTCCAAAACCAGTAAATCAGGCTGATCAGAAGTGCACATCATCTAAATATAACTTACATGTACATGTGTGTATGAAAAACAGATAGAGAATTTTAAGGAGGATATAAATTTATTTAATCAATTTTAAGATCATACAATTTTAAACATTTACAGCTAAATCTATGTATAGCTAAAACGTACCTTTTCTGTAACTGTGTACAATACAAATGGCGTATCTTATGTAACGGGCAGCTACTTTACTGTGCAATAAAAACTTCGTTATTAAAGCACTAGGCAAACCTGCAGATTATGACTGCATATTAAAGCTGCTAGCCTCCAGATGAGCCAAAGTATCTTAAGAAAATCAATACTGAGAAAAATGTACTCACATTTTAAGAAAGGTAAAAACATTTAAGACCCAAGATAATTTTTACATGTTATGTGCAGTTTAAGACTGATTTTGCAGTATTTTATCACCATATTTCCACTGCGTTACTAACGCAGAAGGGGCTGTTTTTGCATATGTTGACCACTTTTTGGTATTTTTCTTGGATTCTAAGTGCCGATTGCAATATCTAAATTACTTTATTTGTTCATCTCACAATATTTTACTTTTAAATAAATTTCCAAAATTTTCATGAAAATTAAAATGAATCTGGAGGCGTGCTGCTTTAAATACACAAAGTTTTTATTAACATACATTAGATAACCTAAGATTAAATTTTCTTGATTTTTGTCTTTGTTTCATGTTTAATGACATTAATGAAATAACGTGGCACACAGTCTATATATTAAGAATTGCTGTTAATAAGTACCCATATGTCACCTCACGTTCATTAAAGTCAGGATCAATCAAGATCTATAATGTATTTCCATTGTGTTAAGTAAAAAGTTTTCATTCAATATTATCTTTAAAATGAACTTTAGATGGCATTAAATTAAGAATTCATAATTACTTTACAAGAAACGAAATATGAACGTAGATAGATCCACACATGTATCTTAATTATGATCCAATAATCAATAAGCATTGAACTTTTATTGTTAGTCCATAACTCTATCCCATTATGCGGTTTTTTTCATTGCAAATCAGCATGTTTTTTCAATTTGTATATGAAAGTCGAAAATAATACGTATAAGTTAAAAAGTGAATAAAAACAGAATTATCTAAATCAGAACCTGATAATTTCTGTGTAAAAACTAGGTCTGATGACATGCATAAGGTCACTAAATTCGGTGCATATACTTAGCGTGTCAATTACTTATAGTGCTATATAATATGGTGGCTGATTTTGGTACATTGCGCGTTGCGTTGTCGATAACGACACACGTTGCGTGTGTCGTTATCGACAATGCAACGCGCAATGTACCCTATCGTTATCGTTTTTTCGTCTTGTCGCTGGCGACAACACGACAAAGCGCCAAACGGTGCATTGTCGCGCTGTCGTCTTGTCGTCCTATCTCTAGCAAAACGCGCCAAACGGCGCATCGGCGTGCATACAATTTGTTATTAAAATTAAATTATTAACTTTTTCTTAAAGATTTGCTAATGGAAATTAGAGGTAAAACTATTTCATATGCTAGCCAAAAGAATAATGATCAATATTGGTGGAAGTATTTTGGAATCATTTTATGATTTCTATTATAAAACGGCAGATGATTTTTTCTATTGTTTTCATCATCCTTGACCGAGTGGTTAAGATCGATGACTTCAGCCTACTTTGGATTCTTCTATGTGAGGAAGCCATCCAGGGACACGCTTTACTCACATTTCGTACTCGATTATAACAATGTATATAGAATGGTAGAGAACCCATAGCTATTTTATGTTGAAATATTTAGAGGATATTTGTTTGTTTGTTTTTAAGTGAATATGTGATATATCTCCCTGAAAATTGAGAAAACTGGCTATGTTGTCGCAAGTAAAAATGTGTTGTTTTTTTTAACTCATTATGAAATATTTAGCTTATTCACGTAACCCACATATTGTTTTTTTTACTTATTTATAATTTAACTGATTGATCATACTTTCACGACTAAAGGTGATATGGGGTACCAGTATATTTGATTACAGAACAATATGGTAAAATACTTTTGCTAAGCTGATAGGATGACTCTATATTCATATTTCTTTTTTTCTTTTTAATAAATGTCATTTTTGATAAAGCAACATTATCCTTTCCTTTCTTCAACTGTACAATTCTAGAGCCACTTTCAACGTTAAAGAATATAAGCAGTCATGTCCGTATCTTAAATTCTTATTTTTCTTCATAGAAGATGTCAGTCTTATTTATGCAAGTTTTAAGTCAGCAAATTTTAAACGTAACTTTACGTAAAAAGTTCTTCTAACGTACGCAATATTTTATTAACACGCTTTTTCCTCAACTTTACGTAAAAAAATCAGATTAAAATTTACGTAAATCTTAAGTGTAAGTACGTTAGTAAAACGGAACGTCGGCAGTTCTACTCAGGTGCCCCGTTCGAGCCTGATATAATTCACGTACGGGCGCCAGAAGTATTATTCCACCAGTAAAGCTGGAAAGTAAGCCATGTGATATGTACTGTGTTGTTGTAAAATTAAACCCAAAAAATATAATCAAAGTATCGTAATATGCATTGCAGTATGGATTGTCTGCTGCGCAATACATCGCAATACGGGTTTCAAAATGTTGTTGCACCCTATAAATTTCATCACTAAAAGCCGTCATTCTGGTTTTTCTGGCTAGCTGGAATAGCAAAAGCTCGTTATTGTAACTTATATGAACTTACATAATGAAATAAACCAATGGTCTCTTGTACAGGTTTTACTGTATCTTCTCTGGCTAGCCCGTTCAGCCGGAACCGGATTCCGGCTAGCCGGAGTAGCCGGAACAGCCGGACTAAACGAAAATTTGTTCCGGCTGCTCCGGCTGCTCCGGCTGTCTGGCTAACTTCACGCACATGATAAAATGAGACAGATCGAAAATATTTAGTAGGTGGAAAATAGTTCCATACTTTTTTATTGAGAATCAAATAAAACTGATGTAAAATTGGCTATACGAACTAAGAACACCATCTGTGAAGTCATCAAGCAGTGACATGTTTCATCTGTTTTGCTATTTTTTGGTAAAAAATAAACATCTTTATCTTTTAAAATTTAGAAGAAAAGTGTATTTTGTACGTTTACTACATTTTTACTTTGATAAAATGTTAGCCTCATTAACACATCAATCTTACAAGGACAATTAAAATGTTAAAGGTGTTTCTCATTGTCCTAAGTTTAAACAATAAATGTCGGAAAAACTTACCATATCATTTTACAGACGACAAAAAGTGGAAAAAAAGTTATAAATAAGAACACCCTTCACGTCAAGAAAACCAAAACTTGTCACATAGAGTGAGAAAAAAAATGCATATATTGTCCACTTTTTTTTTCTTTTTCTTGTAAAAATAATTTTAAAAATGTAAAAAGTTTTAAAAATAAAAAAAAAAAACTTTTAAAAAAAATTTTTGAAAAAAAAAGTTTAAAAAACCTAAAAAAAAAAGTTTTTTATTTTTTAAAAAGGGAACAAAAAATTTAAAAATTTTTTTCCCTGGTTTTTTATGTCTTGCAAATCAAATGTCACGTTTTTGTTATTATATTTGCAGGTATTTGATGCTATAGTCGTGTTTATATCGTTTGTAGTAGATCTGGTGTTACTAAAAGGTCTGATGAACCTCAAGGTCCAAGATGCAGTGTTTATCCTGACCTTTCTTCTACCATGGAGGGTGATTCGTGTAGTCAACAGTCAGTCTCCACAATTCTAATTCTATAAATGTTTCTTATTTTAATTTTATGTGCAGAAATTTAAAAAAAATTTCGTTTTTTTTTTAAAATCAAAATAAATAAAAAAACCTAATTTATAGAAAATCATGTCTTTTTAATTAAAATTAAGCAAAAAAAGCCAATATTTTTAATCGCGACCCTTAATCAGCTAAAACAATTTTAAAATTCTTATTTTAAAGTAAAAAAATCCCAATTAACATAATAATTAAATTATTTAATTACAAAACAAACAAAATAAAACTTTTACAAACAAAAAACTTTCCCAGGTCTGATTGTTGCGGTCCTAGATCACGAGCACTTCCGGTTGAAGATGTTATACCAAGAGAAGAAAGCCGTCACAGCGGAATTGAAAACATTGAAAGCCAAAGAGAAAGGTTGGGATGTAAGTATCGTGATGATTCATGTCATTATTGTCATGTGTTTGTTGTGACCATAAACTGCTTATCATTATGTTCTATGGTGTAATTTTCACGTCAGTATGACAATTTTCATTTCAAATGCTATGTCAAAGTTAAAAGATGCGGATTCGGTGTGATTCAAATACTAATAATCTACACGCTTTCTTTACGATAATTCTTAAAATAAATACTTAAATTTACTCGATATATCGAACATTTTTGAAGTTAATTTTCAATTAACCTAGGCGAACATTTCAAACTGTATCAGTATTATCATATTCTGAAAACGTTGAAAATATTCAATTACGGCAGGAAATATCTGTGAAGTATGGTGGCTGACTGGAACACGTTTGTGCGTCGTATTGTCGCCAACAGCGCGTTTTCAGACTTTCGTCTTGACGTCCTGTCGCTAACGATGCACGCCAAAAGGTGCGTTGTTGTGCGGCGTGTTGTCACGATGTCACATTGGCGCTAGGCTCAAATCGAAGGATTGGGTATTCGCCTCACGATAACGCGTCATTTGGCGTGCTTCTCTAGCGACAGGGCGACAATACGACAGTGCGACAACGCGCTGTTTGGCGCTTTTCGCTAGCGACAAGAAGAAAAGACGAAAAGGCGATAACGATATAGGTTGTCGCTATCGACAACGCAACGCGCAAATCAGCCATCATAGAGATCGGGTTTGCCGATGAAAAGCATCGACTTAAAAATAATGTTGACAAACCATACTCCGTTCACTTCTGTTTGAATATATGTCTTTAAGTGAATTTGTGGCTTTCAAAAATTCACAGTAACAATATTTTTTTTAAATCAAACTTGTCCCCACTTTTACCTTCTTTTATTTTGTATCGTGTTGGCATATTTCTAAAAATCTCACAATTTTCTGATTCTGAACTTTCTTCTTACATTTTAAGTTTCATCTAAAAAAGATAGAGCACTTTTGCGAGAGTGAAGGAATCCCTAAATGGAAAATTCGGCAACACACTGGTAAGTGCCTCTATTCAAGAAATGTTAAAATTACATTACTACTAGTCATTTGATAGATGTTTATTTAAATAATTTTGTCTTCCAACTTTGGCAATGTTTATAGTCATAACTATATTGGCAATTTCTTTGTTCTAGAATGCTCATATATGTTTTTGTAAATTAGCGCATAAAAACATATCATACAATTGTTTTTAGCTATGGGGAGAAAACAATCAACAATAACAACAATGGCTTCGCTAGCATTAAATGGTTTCCTAAAAGGAATGGTAACAAGTCCATCAGACAAGATCTTGTTTGAGAGAACGCTTGCACAGAGTTCACAGGATAACTCGAGTCTCGGAATAATAACAGAGTCTGATACTACGGAGGACAATAATGACGACGATATTACAGAAATTTCGATATCTGTTCCTACAGGAAATGAAACGTGTCCAGTGACGTCAGAAGGAAGCGGAAATTACGACAGTATCTCGGGTCTCGTGATGATTGAAAACGGCCATACGGAAAACAAGCATTTAGGCTTAGATGAAGGTCACATGCAAGTGTCACCCGAGCATGGCATACGTAAAAATGAGTCGCGAAAAAGTGTTACTTTTCTGCCAAAGGAGAAAAAGCCGTTGATTAGAAAACAGGCATCATTCGATGATTCTAAAAGTGATGATGGAAACTTTACAGGCTGGAAGTAATGTTTCTTACAGATATAAAACTTTAAATAACCATATTGGAACCATTTTATAAGAAAATGGATAGACAAAGAATTCTGTAAATTATTGGTGCTTTTTTACATCTTAACGAGAAGAGCTAAATGAATAATGTTTTCAGTGTTGGGTAATGACTACATTGTATGTAACTTAAAGGTATAAAACTTGACTGTCACCTGTATGTATCCATGTTCATTGTGATAAAATAATGCGTGATATACCAAGATGAATATTTAGTGAGGAAGTATCAGGCCATGTTACGTATATATATACTCAGCATTTAAAAGAGTAAAAAAACAGCGCATAATTATATCTAACTGTTAGTCATGTTGCTGTTAAGAGAGTTTCCTGACCTTGTGTCCAAGAATATTTATTATTTTTACCTAATGCCTTCTATAAATACAAATTCAATATTTACAACTGTTTAATTGAACCGCTGAAATTCTTGGCATGCGCAATGATGAAATGAACTGTTCACTTGACCGGTCAACATTTATTTTCTACTGTTACACCCATGTCGACGTCATCGGGTATTTCTATTAACGCCGCCGGTCTCTATTCGGTCTCTGGACGTCGCTCAGCTCAATATACGGTTGTGTTTCGTTTAAACAATTAAAACAGTTGCACAATGTTATGTTGTATGTTGTTGCAATATATTTTGCAGTTTAATTGCAAAGTATGTCCCGCTCCTTTCACCCTTATGTCCGCTCTAGGTTTTTTGAGTGTGTCGGGGCCGCGTCCTGTGAACGTTGCCTTTGCCTTGTTGATCTTTATTCTTGTTTTTTAGGTATTAAATAGTTATTTCATTGGTGTTTGTGGAACAGTAAACTGTCGTCCCTCGTTATTAAGGATGAGATTTGGAACTGTTGCAAGAGAGGCCGAATCTCATCCTTGGCACCTCAGCTGTTTCTCAGACAATTATGAAATAATTGTATATTGCATTCAATAAAACTTTCTTTAAAGTTATTGTATAGAAATTTCGTTATATGAAATAAATACATACTGACAACAGTTACAGGGAGGAAATAGTGACATATGTAATCATTGTTATGAACTTAAAGATCCTGTAACACATTTTTTTCATGGTTTTATTTCATAAATATGATGCTCAAATTAAGATTTGTCTATATTGTAAGTTCCAATAGGCATTATTTATAAAGATTTGACCCAATTTAACATTTCATGTAAATAAAGGTAGGTAATTAGAAATTTATTTTCTATAAATTCTAAGTCAAATTTTTCAATAAGAAATGAATGCATGTAATTTATTGTTTAAATATAATGTGCACAAATATTTGCAGTACATATTTTACATATTCTTCGATGTTTGAAAATTGTTTTATTTGTATATAACTGTTTGCAAGTGTGGTATACACACAGTAACAATATCAAATAATGCAAGATACCAAAATTTACGAATTTAAATGTCATCCGTGCAATGGTATAGCCTGATACAATTTTAAAAATCGTTTGCCAAAACTTATGTATAACTTATTACTTTTATATAACAAAAAACTAATTTAAATAGAATTAATTACTTCTCAACGCACTGAAATGCTATAGGGTTTGTAAGCGAACAGCATGGATCCTGATGAGACTGCGCGGAAGCACAGGCTGGTCTGGACCCATACTTGTCGCAAACGCACTATGTTGGTTTTGTCGTGACGCGGCTCATTAATCATTTTCTAGTTAATCTACTAAGAGTCCCTTTGCTAGACAAAGTTTACTCAGCATCATGCCTGAGTAACATATTATAAAGCGTCATCTACTGAAAACCAAATCTGAAAAATTTACAAATAATTGGAGAGCTAATTCAAATATTGATATAAAAAAAGATCTATAGCACGCAGTAGGGTTCTATCTCTATAAATTGGTTTGCAGCGCGCTATAAAACCATTACAGACGTTTTCAAATCAGAGAATACAATTTAATAACGGAACTCTTAAAACAGTTGACAGGCACCTTCATTTTTATATCTTTAATTGGATTAGGGAAGTATTCGCCACCGTGTTATACCTACATGTTCATCAATCGCATCTTCTCGTCCCTTTCCGTCAAACTTCGAGTAATTATAAATTATGAATAATAGCCGAGGTGTTTCGATTGCATGTTCATAGAATCGAAAGTATTGGTAACTAAGGGATGTACGTCACCCGGTATTATAGCTTCATTAGGATATAGATCACGAACTGAAATGGAGATCGCACCAGAAAAGCAAGAATGGTCAGAACAAAAAGAAGAAGAGGGCATTGATGAGGTTAGCTTCGGAGATAGCACCGGCGAATGTGATTTAACTTTAAAAATTGAGGACAAAAAGATCTACGTGTGTAAAGCCGTGTTGTGTTTAGCGTCACCTGTGTTTAAAGCAATGCTGAAAACAGAGGTCAGAGAGAAAGGTCAGGCAGAAATTGAACTACCAGAAAAGAAGTATGAAGATTTCGTAGAGTTCCTGTGCTGCGTTTACCCAAACAAACTGAAACTTATAACAGGTGTGTATCTTTTATATTGATTCAAATTCTTTCCTGTACTTAAGAATAGTTGACAGTTATTCTTTGATCGATTTACTTACAAATTATCTTGTAATTTAATTTTTGTACGGTGATACACTGCCAGATCACGGTCGGTAGATAACATTTATTTTTCGAAAATTGGCCCGTTTCCGGAACATTCTATTTGAATTCTGCAATTATTCATTATACTGGTTGAAAATCCTGATTTGAATATTGATTTATCCATCAACCTATAAATGTAGCTGTCATGTGAATTATTGAAAAAAGGGAAAAAAGCATTTACGTAGTGTAATTCTTCATAGCGAATATAATAGCCATTAAAGCGAACATAATAGCCATTCATAATTAAAGGATTGCAGTCATTTTTTTCTTTAGAAGTTAACAATAAAAACAAAATGCTTAAAGAGTAATTATTTTTTAAAATGTTACTTTTGTTTATTAAATAGTTAAAGGATGAACACTGTTTGACTTATTAATGACCAACATGTCTTTGAAAAATTATGTGCTGTTACGAATTGCAGTCAACCCAGCCCGGATGGTCAATCTGGCCTCAAGTCCACCCAGTTCCAAGTCAGCCTTGTCTCTAGATGGGTCAGTCCGTCCTTCAAACTAAAATTGGTTGATCAAAATGGGCACGTAGAAAATAAAGAATTTAGGACCGGATTATCCAGATCGCCTAGGGACCGTATTGATTAACTTGGTGAGACCGGGTTGACTTGTTACTGATATCAAAGGATTGTGCAAATTATGTCAACCTAAAGGCCACTCTGATCGAGCTAGAGAGTTAGAAATGAAGTTGACATTGACACCCTTATGCCATGTATTGACAAAACATGCAGTTTATTCTTTATACATGTATGTACCTGTATTTTCAAGACAAAAAAAACCCTATTCAAATGAGAAAATTATAAAATTAAAGGATGTTTTTGAAGACAGAAGTCAATTTAAACAATTGTATCATAAAATTCTTGCTCATGTTGCCCCTGATTTACCACATATAAGCTTAATGTCAATTCGGTAAACGTATGTAACTAAACCCCAATGGCATACATCAAAAATTAATGTCTATTTTACTTTATTGCTAACGAATGTGTATTGAAGATTCATTTTTACACACAATCGTGTTAAAAATTCTAAACTGTAGTAAAACACACATTTAATCATGTTTTTTTCAGAGACAAATGCATACAGAGTTCTGCCGCTCGTTTTGGAATATCAGGTTAGAATTCTTGAACAAAGAATTCATGAGCTACTTATTCAATTAGTGAACGGAAAACACAAATTGAATAACACAGAGCTATACAGGCATCTACAATTAGCTGAACTATACAATTTAGATGAACTGAAAGATCAGTGTATCGCCTTAGCGTCCGACTTGAGTCTTGACAAAATGGATGATGGTTCGTCTCAGTTTTGTGTCTCGGATAAATCAGTTCTACAAATAAGATACATGGCCTTGCAAAAGAGAGAGAAACTTCTACAAGCCAATGAATTGGATAGGGGAGATGATATGTTTTTATTAAATAACGCCCACAAATTGGTATCAGTACGTAAATCTGCGAGGGCACCATTTGCGGGGGAAGACGTTAGGTACAGTGCTTTAATAAAACAAACTTTGGAGTTTCCATTCGGAATCTGTTCTGACATTTTAAGAGCAATACGGTTATGTGTCCGTTACTTTATTAACGAGACACATTTGCTTGAAAACCTCATTTGCAAACTTAACGCGGAAACAGATGTCGAACTTCAAGCGGTTGAAGGAGAGTTGGAACTTTTGCCAGAACATATTCAAACGTCTTTGAGAAAGTATAACGCGAAGTAGACTATGAAAAAGCAATTAAAACAGATCAATATGAATTTTAACGTCTTTTATTCCGGGGACTTGAAATATACATTTAAAGTCCAAGTTTAAACACATCACTTTTCAATAACATTGTAAAATATGGTAAAACCGAAGGGAAGCTACCTGGTGTGCAACTTCCCACGTAAAATGTACGTCCTTCCCTGGATCGATTATAACAACTACAACTATAATAGAAAATATCGAGAGCTTTTTTGTATATTTCAGACATGAAAGAAACGGACAGTTATGATTCATAATTTGTACAAATACGTATATTTACTAGTACTCTTATATCGCATATTGTTATTTTTTCTTCATCCCAGACATGGTTGGTCAATCGTCAAATTCAATTAAAGTCTTTTTATAAAATGTTTTAATGAAATAAGTGTACAGAACAATGCATAATACAAATAAACAACCTGTTAAATAAAAATCAAAGGGTAAACATTCATTAATCTTAATTAACAGTACTAATGATTAATGTCATCAATGTCAATTATTCTATTGTCAATTAAAGGTCTTTATAAATTAGTAATAAAAAGTGTGGGGGCTATGTCCACTCTATAAAATTAAAGGTATGGGGTTTTGTCCACTCTACAAAGTTCATGTGTGGGGTTTTGTCCACTTTATAAAATTGTATTGTGTGGTGTTTTGTCCGTCTTCCCTCATGCAAATATTGTGTATGTCTTGAGAGAAATATTGTATTGTATTGTATTGTATTGTATTGTATGATTAACAATATCCCCTAAAAGTTTGCTGATTTGTTGTTGTTTATCACTCGTTAGCATCGTTAGAATTTTCTATATTTATAATTATTTTATTAATTATAATTGTATAAAATGGCTATTTGAATATCATTCATCATAAAAACTGATGCAAATGTGATAGAATTTGGATTATCATTACAGATTAAAGAACTTTTCTTCTTAACTAATTGCATTTAAAAGTTAAGAGTCAGAAACTGTTGAACCTAAGACGTTGTTATGTTGATGTAAATCAAATGCTTGTTTAAACTTTTTTGAGCCACTACAACTTATTTATTCATAGAGTTTTTCAAACATATTTGTGTAGTTGCTTTGTATACGCCATATACTTACATTTTGTACATATTTCATATATATTACACATTATAATTATTATTTTGTGAAATAAAGATTGAAAAAAGGTCAATGTTATAGCTCGATTTGATGATTACTTCTCCCTAAATTTCAAAACTTCTTCCTATTTTCCCTGAAGGGAGAAGTCACTTCTTCCTAATTTTCAGTCCAAGGTAGTATAACATGGTTCGCCATGCCATAAGAGCAAATTTATTGCTGAAAAAACATATAGCAGGGGTGTTATGGTCTTTTTGGATCTTTTTACATCAGTATAAAGCATAAAGCTTTACAGTCAAGGAACATGGCCTGGAGAGGCTCGTGTGAAATCACCATTTTTATATGTTTTTATATGTTATTTGCTATAACTATATATATTATAAGCGTATGAATTTCCATAAAAACAAGAGCTGTCACAAGAGATAGCGAAGCTTGACTAAATAAATACTGGACGCAGTAAAACAGACAAAACTATGAAAGAAAAGTCAATTATGATATAAATATCTCCAAGAAAGCGCTCAAATGTTCATCATTTTTGCACCACATAATATGCATTTGACCATGTCAATAAATGTCAAACAAACATTGTGAACAATGCTTTCATGGAACAGACATTAATTTTAAATCTGAATTCAATCACTTCAAAAACAAAAATGATATCATAAGAGATAAAAAAAATTAGAAGTTTTGAAAGTAAAATTATAGGTTCAAAGAAGAAATAACTCTTGAAAAAAGATGCTAGAGCATGCATGATATGAGTAATGACAAAAAACAATTAATTATCTTAAGTTTTGAGTAGATACCGTTTTTAATAACTTATATAATAATTAAAAACTCTAAAAAATATATATCAATTAATTTACAAATAAATTCTTAGTTCATTAATTAAATGGAGATAATTCTGGGAATACGGAGCATGCCTTATAAATTTTATCCATTTGACAAACTTGCTTATAACAAACATATTTTGAAGTCCGAGTTAAATTGCTGAAGAAACAAAGAAGTTACAGAAAAAATATAAGTAAGTTTGAAGTTGATACCTTAAGAAATGAAAAAGTTATAGTAAAAAATATTTTACTGCACCAAAACTTTAATCTAATTTCTGGATGCAGACACGGACGCGGCCATTTCTATAATCACCCTCCCCTACTTTGCAGAAGGGGATAAATAAAAGTAGAGATGACAGACAATAGAACAATAAATAAAAATTAAATTAACACTATTTTTTGGCACCAAATACTTCATGTAATATGTCAATATATTTTTCTTTGTAACAATTACATTCATTTTTTTTCAGTTTGCATCAAAAGATGCCAAATACGAAGTTTGATAACGATCCACCATTGATTCATGCAAAGAAATCAAATAAAGGTGAATCTTATTCCACTTTGCTGACCTTTTCATTGGATAAACTAAATCAATTTGCATACATTTGTGGATGCTTCAGACACATTAGGCAATGGTAGATTTGTCCAGATGTTTGTTTATCTATTTTACACCAATTTTAACGCATTTCTTAAAAAATCTAAATGTGACTGGTGAAAAAAACCGACTCAGATTTATATGCTATACTAGCCCTTTCACTGCCATAGGGACGGCTTATGCCGTCCCTGTTATTTTCGGCGTATGTGCCATATGGACGGCTTTTGCCGTTTCTATAATAATAATAATAATAATAATAATAATAATAATAATAATAAATTAATAACAATTATAAAAATAATAATAAATATAAAGAAAATTATACCATCGACAATAATTATTATTATACTAGCATATTTGGAAACATATATATAATTATTATAATACTAATAACAAATAATATTAATAATTATATTAATTAATAATATAGTAATTTCTTAGAAAACCCTTTGGCAAATAGGTGATCAATGAAACAATAACCCTCTGCCAGCGAAAGGGCTAGACGAACATTGGAGTCAATGATCTAGGGCCACAGAAATCCAATAATGAGCAAAGTGTATGTATGGTACAATTTTTTACGGCTGCCACAAAACAGACGCTAGTTCAGCTATGTTGAAAATGCCCTTTTGTGGGTATGTTTCTTTTTTTTTTTATCTAAAACGCTAGCATAGATAGAACTAATCATGCAATTACAGAATGGGAAATTGCCAGAAAGAGACAATTGTTGATATAAGAGGACATTTTAGGGCTGATGCTACCATTTATAGTAGTATGCACCTTTAGTTTTGATGAGACTACACAATCAATTTGATTTGAAAATGAATGACAACAGCTGCCTGTTTTAATAGTTTATTACATATAAAGCGTGTTCAAGACTAGAAAATGCTCTACTATAGTTAACTATATTCAGTACTTAAGGTGACAAAAACAGAATATTGATAGTGTTATTTTTTTTTTTTAAAGAAACGAATTTCTGAGGAAAACTCTTATACGAATCACTTTATATATGTCGCAATTAAGAACATTTTCTAAATTAACATGAAAATAAAAATGAATTATAAGGTTGTGTTGCTTTCATAGCAAACATTCCTGGTTTGTTTTATAACCCAACAGGAGAAATATTGAAAATATCAAATATGAATAAAACTTTCACAACCATGCATTAAGATGTAGTAACTAAATGGTCAATAAATTGTAAAATATAATGCAATAAACACTTGGTCCAAGTACATTAGTACATTTGTATATGAATGTTTACCATTTATATAAAAAATCTGAAAAAAAAATGTAAAATTTATACCATTTTCTATCAAAAGATGAACATTTATGTTTATAATGTATTTCTTAACATTTATATTTATAATGTATTTCTTAACATTTATATTTATAACATATTTCTGTATTTACAATTAATTGGCTATAATAAGCTTCGATAGTATAATATAAAAAGTACGATTATCTATTACACTTTTTTTCCAAAATATTTTTGCGTATGTTCTTATATGAAAATGAAATAATTATAAAGACAAAATTAACATATTTTCTATCCTTGAAACCACTGTTGAAAACACAGTACACATAAATCTGGTAAGGCAAGAAATGGTTTCATAATAAAGAAAATTGACTTCCATGTCAAAATTGTGACAGCCAAGGATGACCTCTTTAAAATTTGTGATTATTTAAAATACACGTAAGTTGAAAAATATATATTGTACTCTTCGAGAGATGATCACTTATGTCACTGTACACATTAAATATATACAAAATTGTTCATAAGGATGATATTAACATAATAAAAACATCTTGTTCCCCTTTTAGGAAATAAAAAAATTATCTATTTACATGAACTATCCCTGTTAATGCCATTATCCTGTAAATACAACATCAATGTAAATATTTTTGTGTTCAATAAAACACTGTGTTTATATAACCAAAATTAAACCTTGGAGAGCTTATGGTTATATAACAGACCAATGCCAGTATTACAGAGCCATGGCTTAGCCAATAACCTCTAGTTGTGTGTTATAGAATTGATGGGACTTGTCATTCAAGGTTTAACAGGTTTCAGTTTCAAAATACAAAAATTAAAGGAACTCCAATGAAATCCAAAAGCCTAAAACCATAAAATTTCAATTTCTTACTTTAATCGAGAAGGGGGGGGGGGTGACATATGAAACAAAAAGATATGCAAAATGAATAAAGAAATATACTTAGATTAAATTGTATTTTTGTGGTATTCTAAGCCCAATTTGAGTTAAAAACGCTGTAACGCTTTTCAATTTTGGGTTATTTTTCACAATTAGAATAATATTATTCTGGAAAATGGACTGTGAAATTTTGCAAACATATTATTGATCTACACATACATCACATGGAACATTTATCTCGAAAAATTATTTCTGGTCCCATCATATAAAAAAACTTCCATGGAGTACCTTTAAATAAGCTAACAACAGCATAAAGTCTGATGAAAGGCTATGTACTTTCAGTTCCAACATGTTATAGGTTTATAACCTATAACATGTCAAACCGAGCCTGCAACATTTGACAATTTTGCCGTATTGGACTTTCTTTAAGGATTCTGTTTTTCTCTATTTTATATTGAAATTGGATGAAATGCTTATGTATTGTTCCAAATTCATGACATGGCAAGTTCATCACATAAATGTCATTAAATTTTTAAACATGATGCAACAATCCTTTACACAAATTTACGAGATTTTTCTTAAGTTAAACACAGATGGTACATATAATTCTGAATACAGTCAGGAAAGAGATTTCATACTGTTTGTTAATGTTCGAAAATGATTATCATATATGAGGATTGGCAGTATAACAACCTGAATAAATGAAGTTTGTGTCTGTTAATATATAATTATCTGGTTTTTAACAACTTCAATATCAAAAATGCATTTGTATTTTAGTGATGTAGTAAAAGTAGTTAAATACAGAACATACCTTTATTACAGTCCATGAGTACAGTAATGTAAAATTTTATGTCAAAGCTGGAAAATCTCAAGAGTCTTTCAAGGTCATTTCTTTTTTATTGATCTTTACAGTAAAGTGAAAACTATTTCACAGTAGCTATAGCAAGATAGTAAAACAGAAGTGTTATTATATATCTTGTTACGGAGTACTATTTGCTTATGCATAAAGCATTTTGTGTAAGGTAACATTATATCAGACTATATTACAACTATGGAATGACCAAATACACTGACATCTGCTATTCTAATGTTAGTTTACAGTTTATTTAAGCTTGAAGCCTATTTGAACAACACTTTAATTCTATTGACTTTACTGGGGTCATATATATTTATTTATTAAACTTCGCCCCGCGTCCCCTCTAATGAACGTGTTTTCTTCCCACGACCCCGCCGTTTTATTTCTTAAATCTCGGACCGCGCCCCCGCGGGGAGAATTTTATTTATTAAAGTTTGCCCCGCGCCCTCGCTAATTAGCGTGTTTTCGCTAAGCGCCCCCGCCATTTTAACTTGTTAATTTTCGATTTTTCGCTTGGCGGGGTCACGGGGCGAAAACACGAATGACACAAATCAGCCACCATACGAATTACTTTGTTTTGCAGCGTTCGCGTAGTCGTTGAACATCTGACGTCATCTTTTTAATTGTGCAACTGTTTTGTTTTTTCGTGTATTTTTTAACCTTTGGCTATTCCTACAATAAAACAGTCCATTAAATTTGATGTGATATACACTGGCAGAAAGTACGTCATACAATATGCCATGTGCCGGTAAATTTCACATCATATTCAATGGCCCGTGAACTAGTCAATAATTGTATAATACTAATTAAATGATGAACATGGAACACATGTCCTTTCCAAAAGAATGTGAGTGATACGTAGATTTCTAAATAATGTTAAAAGAAAAAAGAAAAAAAGTTGATCTTTCTGAGGTTTGAACCCACAGTCAAAAGTTCCAATGTAGTAGCCTACTTTAAATAAACACATGTTACTGCACAAAAATATCGGAAATAAATCAAACAATACATAATTTTATGACAGGTATTTGATACTATGTTAAACCACGTGGTACAGATAAATGTAATTAAAAAAGGTACGACGTAATCTAAAATCACGAGGTATAAATAAATCTACATGTACGTATAAATAAGCTCAAGGTTATCGTGAAAGATGATAGCCGAGGTGTTCCGGTTGCCTGTCCATAAATCGAAGCCCATCAGGATATAGATCAATAACGAACTGAAATGGATGTCGCGACAGAAAATCAAGAACAAGGAGAACGTATTGATGAAATCAGCTTCAAGGATAGCTTAGGTGAATCGGATTTAACTTTGAAAATTGAGGACAAAAAGATCTACGTGTGTAAAGCTGTGTTGTGTATAGCGTCACCTGTGTTTAAAGCAATGCTGAAAACAGAGTTTAGAGAGAAAGACCAGACAGAAATTGAACTACCGGGAAAGAAGTATGAAGATTTCGTAGAGTTCCTGTGCTGCGTTTATCCCGATAAACTGAAATTAATAACAGGTTTTTCTTATACTTTCATGTTCATTCTCTCTGTCTCTACTGTTGAAAAGACTAGTTATATTACTAGTACACGTCTTTGGGCGATACATGACTCACCTGAGATATCATTTTTCGAAAAAAAGGTCTGTTTCTGGGTAATTTTATTGAAAATCCCTGATTAACTTTTAGCTCTTTTCTATACCTTAAATTTTATTTGAATGTTTAGCTCTTTTCTATATCTTAATCTATTTAAATGTAGTTATAATAAAAATCTTTTAAATGAGTTATTAATTTTGAAAGGAAAAAATGTAGATTTCCTTGCACGTAGTGCATTACATTTCAAACATAGTCATTCAAAATTAAAGGTTTGCAATCAATCTAATTGAAGTTCAGGCCTACTTTAATATTTCTTAATTGTCACTGATTTTGTTTCGCCTTCTTTGTTGTTCGGATTTTTAGCCCGTCGTCAAAACTCACGGACTGCGTTTAATATTTACCGATATCGGTACACGGTAAATAACTTGGGTGACCGAGGATGATTTTAGCGTCCTTTATAGATAAGCATTTTAATAGGCGCAATATCAAAATGTCCCTTTCCGTTGAAGTAAAACAAATTGTTGATTTTTGTTAGAAATATGTTTTGAAGTAGTGTGAAACAAGCGAACTGGCAAGATTGTTTGCCTGTTAACTAGCCGATTATATGGACAACGTCATGTTTGTTCATGATTGAAAATTTCCTACTTAGTATTGAAACAGAAACCATACCGCTATAATATTTTTTATTTTGTATTGAAGATTCATGTTTACAAACATGTTAAAATGCTAAATACTTACATGTAGTAAAATACATATTTTTCTTTTTCTTCAGAGACAAATGCATACAGAGTTCTGCCGCTCGTTTCGGAATATCAGGTTAGAATTCTTGAAAAAAGAATCCATGAGCTACTTATTAAATTAGTGAACGGAAAACACAAATTGAATAACACAGAGCTATACAGGCATCTACAATTAGCTGAACGATACAATTTAGATGAACTGAAAGATCAGTGTATCGCCTTAGCGTCCGACTTGAGTCTTGACAAAATGGAAAATGGCTCGTCTAAGTTTTGCGTCTCGGATAAATCAGTTCTACAAATAAGATATATGGCCTTGCAAAAGAGAGAGAAACTTCTACAAGCCAATGAATTGGATAGGGAAGATGATATGCATTTATTTAAAAACGCGAATAAATGGGTACATGCGACTTCTGGGGAATACATTATGTACAGTGCTTTTATAACACAAAGGGTGGAGATTACAGACAAAAGCTGTTCTGAAATTTTAAGAGCAATACGGTTATGTGTCCGTTACTTTAATAACGAACCGGATAAGCTTGAAAGATTCATTTGCTCACTTAACGCGAAAACAGATGTTGAACTTCAAGCAGTTAAAAGAGAATTGGAACTTCTACCAGAACATGTCAAAACGTCTTTAAGAAAGGTTGACACGAAGTAGATTAAGAAGAAACATAAAAAACAGAAGAATATGAATTTAAACTTCTTAAAGCACATAACTTTTCTATAACATTATAAAATTAGAAATATGTTAAAGTGCAACTTCCGACTGAAATTGATGCCCTTTCATGGATTGTTTATTAACAACTACAAAAGATATCTGACTGAGCCATGTTTTGTATTTTCAAAACATGAAAAAATGCACCGCGGACAGTTCCAAAAAATCATAAGATAAGTAATATTATTCACATATACGTATATTTACTTGTATATCACACATGGTATTTTTTCTAAAGTTGTTTATACCTGACAGAGTTGCAATCGTTGAAATCAAATTAATTTAAGACTATTAATTATGGCATGCTAAAATAAGTACGAGTACAGTTTAATGCAAAAAATCATTCAAGGAAACAAACCATGCAAAATTTGTATTTAAAAATTAATTTACTTCGTCATATCATTAGAAGAAATTTATTGCAAAAAAAAACATGTAGTCGGGGCGTCATCAGATCAGGTTTTTTATTTTCTTGACATCAGTATAAAGCACAAAGCTTTAAACCTAAGGAAAATTGGCTCGAGAAGCCCGCGTGTTTTGACCATTTTTTGGATATCTCATTTTTGTTCCAATTATATAAAAAGTGTTTAAATTTCGATAAAAAATTGGATTCAACCGTTTAAACACCATTTGTGACTCTGTTGCAGATTAGCAATTACAATTACATTACTTCTCACACTAGGAAAATGGTCTCGGTGGCTCGTTTGACAATGTCGATTTTTGGATCTGCAATTCGTTCTTTCTGTATATGAAGTGTATAATTTTTTGTAAAAAACACTTTTTTTGGTGCAAACCTAAAAAAACACCATTAGTGTTATTCTGTTGCAGATTAGCCCTTGTAGTAGTTTGAAGGTTCGTATTAAAAACATTTCTTTTAGTTCTTTCTGTATGTACATGTATTGTATACATGCATTTTTGAAAGATACACCGTTTTTTTATCCAATCGTTAAAAAATATTTGTGATTCCGTTGCAGTTAAGCATTTGCCTTAGTTTAAAGTCGTTTCATTTACAACAATGAACAAAGCTCTAACCAAAATAAAAAATATAAAAAACTGGCCAAGAGAGGCCCGTGTAAAATAGTCGATATTTTTTATCAGCAATTTGTTCCGTCTGTATATAAAGTGTACACAGTTTCTTTAAAAAAAACACCTTTTTTTGGTGCCAAACGTTAAAGCTTATTTGTATTTTTTCGTTGCGGTACTTTTGAAGTTTTCTTTACAGAAATATAAGACAAAGGAAAATGGTTTTTATTACTTCGAATGGGCAGTGGCCTTTGCGGTAGATATCTCCCCTTTTGTCCCTAGTTTTATTTCTTTAATTTTGCCCTCCCCCCTCCCCAATTCTCCTATACCCTTCCCCTGTGCCCTTTTACTAGGTGGGCCTATTATCTATCAATCATTTATTAGTATTCGTTGTTTTTGTTTTCCTTGTCGGTTACTATCATTTCTTCTTATGTATGATTTTAGTGATCAGCCTGTTGATGCTCTGCCATGCACCCTGTCCTGTTTTTGTCCTCCTGGGCTCCTTGTCACTGGTTCTTGTTGCTGGGTCGTGTGGGGGGTTGCGTTCATTGAACTCGGCCTTTCCTTGATATTGATTTTCATATTTTATTACAGTTTCATGAAAACATCATTAGGGTGACTGAACGCGAGCGTAAAGCTTTGTGCCTTATTTTGCTGTAAACTAATACAATATTCTAGTTCATTACGTCAACGCGCGCGTTTCATCTTTAGGGTGCGAAAGAACAAAGAGGCGAAACAAACAAAAAGAAACTGGGATTGGTGCAGAAAAAAGCAAAATTAACTTAAGAAGAACTAGATGGACACAATATAAGGGAGCATAGAAGAAAGTATAGAAAGATCAATGTGTATAAGACAGTGTTACATGAAGCGTCGCCTATTTTCCAAGCAAGCTTAAAACCGAGTCCAGGGAGAAAGTTCAAACAGATATTGAGCTACAGGAAATATCTATTCTATTCAACATTAATTTTATCTGAAATTCGATAAGTTAATAGAGTACAATTATCGTTATATCGGGAAAGAATATAAGCAAATATATTGAACAAAAAAGGAAAATTCCGTGCATTTAAGTGCAGGTATACACACATGAAAATTAGGATTAAAGTAGATTGATATGTATATGTTAGTGTTCATCCGTGCTGTTCTACAGAAATTAGAAACTTCGACGGGAGCGATGGCGACAGGAGAATGTTTCTAATTTCTGTAGAACAGCTAAGGATGAACACTAACATATTTAGTGTCAAGCTTTATTTGGCCCTTGATTACGTCACTACGCGGTCCTATGAAGCACTATGAAAAATAGAAGGCGACTATGAACGGATTTCAATATAGTATCGACTTTTTTTCTTCTATGAAAATTAACACACATAATTTTTAAGAAATACAGCGTTTTCATTGGATGACAAATAAAGCTGGACACTAAGTATTGAAAGAGTATTTTATTGCGATTTTTTTTTTTGTGAAAGGTTTATCCAAAAGTAGTGAAACGGTAGTTAAATGCAGAAGGGGTCGCCCAACAAAATCACTGATTTATATCGGATATGCAGAGATCGGATCAGCGTATTGATTTCGGCTTGTGATTTCTTTAAGGTTTGTCTTAGCTGAATGACCTTTGACGGTAGACTAGGGCGACGTCTTACACGCTGGTCCAAATTTTCCCAAAGGTTTTCAATGGGATTTAGATCAGGGGTTTTGGCAGACCAGACATTAGTAAATGCAATGCTTTTCGCCCTGAGGAAATTCACAGTGTCCTTAGCTGTATGGCTTGTGGCATAATCATGTTTAAAAGAGTGATATTGGCATTATTTGAAACAGTGATATAACATGTCTTGCAAAAATTTCAACTCGATAGCGTTGCGCATTCAAATTCCCTTCGGGTATAATTTAATTCATTTTATGATTATTTAAGGACTCTGGTGCCAATGCACAACAACACTGAGTGTTTGTATTGTACAATTTTTTTACCGCTGCCACACAAAAGACTATTAGTTCAGCTATGTTGAAAATGCGCTTTAAGGCTTTTGTGGGTATGTTTCTTTTTTATCTAGAGCTCTAGCATAAACAAAACTAGGTCATGCAGTTACAGAATAGGAAAATTGCCAGGAGACCATTGTTGATATAAGAAGACATTCTAGCACTGATGCTACCATTTAGTTGTATGCACCTTTAGTTTTGATGAAACTACAAAATAAATTTGATTTGAAAATGAATGACTACAATGGCCTGTTTTAATAGTTTATTACATATAAAGCGTGTACAAGACTAGAAAATGCTCTACTATAGTTAACTATATTCAGTACTTAAGGTGACAAAAACAGAATATTGATAGTGTTTTTTTTTTTTTAAAAAAGAAACGAATTTCTGGGCAAAACTCTTTCTTATACGAATCTCTTTACATATGTCGCAATTAAGAACATTTTCTAAATTAACATGAAAATAAAAATGAATTATAAGGTTGTGTTGCTTTCATAGCAGACATCCCTGGTTTGTTTTATAACCTAACAGGTCGCATAACCCAACAGGAGAAATATCGAAACATATCAAATATGAAAAAAACTTTCACAACCATGCATTAAGATGTAGTAATTAAATGGTCAATAAATTGTAAAATATAATGCAATAAACACTTGGTCCAAGTACATTAGTATATGAATGTTTATCTTTTATATAAAAAAAAAAACTGGAAAAAAATACCTACCTTTAACTATCATAATGTTTCTTTAACATTCTTTAAAAAGGCACATTTATATTTATAATGTATTTCTGAACATTTATATTTATACTGTATTTCTGTATATGTTAATAATTGATTGGCTATAATTACGAAGTACGGAAGCCCATAGGGGCCATTTTGTCTTAGTAATTATGAATTTTGACTTCATACTTTCTTATTGTCTGTTTTGTCTAATTTGTTACTTCTTCAATGTTAGCTATATATTTCTTCGGAAATTTAAAATTAGTAAGACAAAATGGCCCTTATGGGATTCTATAGTTTCGTGTTGGAATTATGAATATTCATAATTTATTATATTGATTATATTATTAATCATATTATAAATTATTCTAAGAGTCAGAAACTGTTGAACCTTAAAAATTGTTGTGTTGATGTAAATCAAATGCTTGCTTAAAATTTATTGAGCCACTACAACTTATTTATTCATAGAGTTTTTCAAACACTTTTGTTTCCTGTGTATACGCCATATACTTACATTTTGTATATATTTTACATGCATGTACAATGTACATATATATAGGCATACATATTACACATTATAATTATTTTTTGTGAAATAAAATTTGACAAAAAAGTCAATGTTATAGCTCGATTTGATGATTACTTCTCCCTAAATTTCAAAACTTCTCCCTATTTTCCCTGACGGGAGAAGTCACTTCTCACTAAATTTTCAGTCCAAGGTAGTATACCATAAGAGCAAATTTATTGCTGATAAAACATATAGCCGGGGTGTTATGGTCTTTTTGGATCTTTTTACACCAGTATAAAACATAAAGCTTTGAAGTCAAGGAACATGGCCTGGAGAGGCTCGTGTGAAATCACCATTTTTATATGTTTTTATATGTTATTTGCTATAACTATATATATTATAAGCGTATGAATTTCCATAAAAACAAGAGCTGTCACAAGAGATAGCGAAGCTTGACTAAATAAATATTGGACGCAGTAAAGAAGACAAAACTATGAAAGAAAAGTCAATTATGATATAAAAATCTCAAAGAAAGCACTCAAATGTTCATCATTTTTGCACCACATAATATGCATTTGACCATGTCAATAAATGTTAAACAGACATTTTGAACAATGCTTTCATGGAACAGACAATAATTTTAAATCTGAAATTAATCACTTCAAAAAAAAATGATATCATAAGAGCAAAAAAATAGAAGTTTTGAAAGTAAAATTATAGGTTCAAAAAATAAATAACTCTAAGATGCTAGAGCATGCATGATATGAGTAATGACAAAGAACAATTAATTATCTTAAGACTTGAGTAACTACCATTTTTAATAACTTATATAATAATAGCTTATATAATAATTAAAAACTGTAAAAAAATATATATATCAATAAATTTACAAATAAATTCTTAGTTCAAAATTAAATGGAGATAATTCTTGGAATACGGAGCATGCCTTATAAATCTTATCCATACTGTATGGCATATAACTTGCTTATAACAAACATATGTTTGAAGTCTGAATTAAATTTCTGAAGAAATAAAGAAGAAATTGAAGTTGATACCTTCAGAAATGAAAAAGTTATAGTGAAAGATATTTTACTGCACCAAACATTTTATCAGAATTCTGGACGCAGACACGGACATTTCTATACCCCCCCCCTTGCAGAAGGGGATTAATAAAGGTAGAGATGACAGACAATAGAACAATAAATAAAAATTTAAGTAACACTTTGTTTTAGTGTAATCTGTCAATATATTTTTCTTTGTAAAAATTACATTCATTTTTTTTCAGTTTGCATCAAAAGATGCCAAATACGAAGTTTGATAACGATCCACCATTGATTCATGCAAAGAAATCAAATAAAGGTGAATCTTTATTCCACTTTGCTGACCTTTTCATTGGACTAAATCTATCTGCATACATTTGAGGATGCTTCACACACACTAGGAAATGGTAGATGCATCCAGATGTGTGTTTATCCGTTTAAAACCAATTTTAGCCATCTAAATGTGACTGGCGAAAATTGCCGACTCAAGTTAATATGCTATACTAGAGTATAAATACGAGTAGTACTCATTCTTCGACATTAGGCGAACATTGGAATCAATGATATAGGGCCAGTGGAACCCAACAACAATGGGTGTATGTATGGTACAATTTTTTACGGCTGCCATAAAACAGACGCTAGTTCAGCTATGTTGAAAATGCCCTTTTGAGGGTATGTTTCTTTTTTATCTATAACTCTAGCATAAACAGAACTAGTCATGAAGTTACCGATAGGGAAATTGCAAGAAAGTGGCCATTTTTGATATAATAAGGCATTCTAGGTCTGATGCTACCATTTAGTATGAACCTTTAATTTTGAAGAGATTTAAGAGTAAATTTGATTTGAAAATGAATGACAACAATGACCTGTTTTAATAGTTTATTACATATAAAGCGTGTACAAGACTAGAAAATGCTCTACTATAGTTAACTATATTCAGTACTTAAGGTGACAAAAACAGAATATTAATGGTTTTTTTTAAAAAAAGAAACAAATTTCTGGGGAAAACTCTTTCTTATACGAATCACTTTACATATGTCGCAATTAAGAACATTTTCTAAATTTACATGAAAATAAAAATGAATTATAAGGTAGTGTTGCTTTCATAGCAAACATCCCTGGTTTGTTTTATAACCTAACAGAAGAAATATTGAAAATATCAAATATAAAAAAAAACTTTCACAACCATGCATTAAGATGTATTAACTAAATGGTCAATAAATTGTAAAATATCATGCAATAAACACTTGGTCCAAGTACATAAGTATATGAATGTTTACCATTTATATAAAAAAAAAATCTGAAAAAAGTAAAATATATACCATTTTCTATCATAATGTTTCTTTAAAAGATGCATTTATATTTATAACGTATTTCTGTATTTACAATCAATTGGCTTAATAAGCTTCGATAGTATAATATAAAATGTACGATTATCTATTACACTTTTTTTCCAAAATATTTCTGCGCAAGATCTTATATGAAAATGAAATAATCATAAAGACAAAATTAACATATTTTCTACCCTTGAAACCACTATTGAAAACACAGATCACATAAATCTCGTAAGACAAGAAATGGTTTCATAATAAAAAATAATTGACTTCCATGTATAATATTAATGTCAAAAATCATAAATGTGACAGTAGAGGTTTGCCTCTTTCAAATTAAAATTGTGATAATTTTAGATACAAGATAGTTGAACAAGAGGGCCATGATGGCCCTGAACTCGCTCACCTGTATATAGGCCCCCGGAGCGGGGCCAGTTTAAACCCCAGGGCTTTTATTTGAGCAAACTTGGAAGACACCCATTAGAAGATGTTTCATGATGTTATGTTTTTACTACACACATATAATGAAAAACAATGACCTCCGCCCCCTCCCCCCCCCCCCTTTGGCGGGGCCAGTTTTAACCCCAGGGCTTTTATTTGAACAAACTTTGTAGACACTTACTAGAAGATGTTTCATTCTTAATATCTAAACTCTAGCTATTTGGGTTTTTTCAAAGAAAATTTTTAAGTTTTTGCCATACACATATAAGGAAAATCAATGACCCCCGGGGCAGGGCCAATTTTGACCCCAGGGCTTTTATTTGAACAAACTTTGTAGACACCCATTAGAACATGTTTCATGCTAAATATCTTAGCTCTAGCTCTTTGGGTTCTTTAAAAGAAGATTTTTTAAGTTTTTACTATATGCATATAGGGAAAATCAATGACCCCCTGGGGCGGGGCCAATTTTGACCCCAGGGCTTTTATTTGAACAAACTTGGTAGACACTCACTAGAAGATGTTTCATGCTTAATATCTAAACTCTAGCTATTTGGGTTTTTTCAAATGAGATTTTTAAAGTTTTTGCTATACACATATAAGGAAAATCAATGACCCCCGGGGCGGGGCCAATTTTGACCCCAGAGCTTTTATTTGAACAAACTTTGTAGACACCCATTAGAACATGTTTCATGCTAAATATCTTAGCTCTAGCTCTTTGGGTTCTTTAAAAGAAGATTTTTTAAGTTTTTACTATATGCATATAGGGAAAATCAATGACCCCCTGGGGCGGGGCCAATTTTGACCCCAGGGCTTTTATTTGAACAAACTTTGTAGACACTCACTAGAAGATGTTTCATGCTTAATATCTTAACTCTAGCTATATGGGTTTTTTCAAAGAAGATTTTTTAAGTTTTTGCTATACACATATAAGGAAAATCAATGACCCCCTGGGGCGGGGCCAATTTTGACCCCAGGGCTTTTATTTGAACAAACTTTGTAGACACCCATTAGAACATGTTTCATGTTAAATATCTTAGCTCTGGCTCTTTGGGTTCTTTAAAAGAAAATTTTTTAAGTTTTTACTATATGCATATAGGGAAAATCAATGACCCCCTGGGGCGGGGCCAATTTTGACCCCAGGGCTTTTATTTGAACAAACTTGGTAGACACTCACTAGAAGAAGTTTCATGCCACATATCTAAGCTCTAGCTCTATGGGTTCTTTAAAAGAAGGTTTTTTAAGTTTTTACTATATGCATATAGGGAAAATCAATGACTCCCTGGGGCGGGGCCAATTTTGACCCCAGGGCTTTTATTTGAACAAATATCTAAGCTCTAGCTCTTTGGGTTTTTTAAAAGTAGATATTTAAAGTTTTTTCTTTTGGTTGCCATGGCAACCAGAGTTCTGCATGGAATTAAATTCTTTGAACAATTTTTACAAGGTAGACCACCAAAGGAACATTCCTGTGAAGTTTGGATGAAATTGGCTTAGTGGTTTATGAGGTGATGTCATTTAAAGTAA